AAAGCAATAAAGCGAGAAAAAAAACTCTCATTGGAGTGATGACTTTTCATTAAGATCATTAAGCAAAGAAAATATCATAAGCATATTATGAAACTATTTAATCATGCTAAAGCGGTATAATTTTGTCAATTATGTGACTTTGTCAAATATTTAGCATATGATATTCAGTTTGCACAATTAAGTTTATAACTATTAAAGTTAGAAATTATTATTTAATAGAATAATTTCATAAAGTGTGCAATAAAGAAATGATTGAAGCAAGAGAAAATAAAACATTTCTCATTCAATAAGTACCTCAAAGGATAAGGGCAAATAAAGAATAATAAGAAAATAAGATATGAACTGACAAATGTTCAATGGTGTTGAAAGATACATCAATTTAAAAGGGACAATTTTGGTGAAAATTGATATTTTTTATTTACTTTTAACTATTTTAGATTGCCATTATAAGCTTAAACTTGTTTTTAAAAGACAATTTGTAGGATGAAAAAAATTATTTTAATATTATATATATATATATATATATTATATATATATATATATATATATATATATATATATATATATATATATATATATATATATATATATATATATATATATATATATATATATATATATATATATATATATATATATATATATATATATATTTTAAATGATGGATTCAATTTGTCTTTTAAATTCAAATATTATTATAGCTAATTCAGTCGAGACTTGTGATAATCTATAATTACTGAAAAGTTTGAGAAATATAAACTTTAGTCCCAAGTTAAAGAATATTTTGAGATAAATATTATAATGTGTATTGAGAATATTTTGTTTGGGGGAGAGATATGTTTAAAGAACAAAATTGAGCGGGAAAGAATTGGTTCTAACTCAATTCATACCGTTGTTATTTATATAGCAAATTTGGACCCTCATACGCATAGTATTGTTTATTCTCTCAATTAAAATAAGAAAGGGTTAAATAAGTTTTTGGTCCCTCTAAATATCTCAAATTTCATTTTTAGTCCCTCTAAAATTTTCTTCAAAGAATAGTCTTTCTATAAAACTAAACTTTAACTTTTGGTCCCTCCTGACAAAATCGTAGCTAAAATAGTCTCTAATTTCGTCGCTAAAACTGTCACTAAAATCGTCGATAAGTTGTAAAAACCGTCGCAAATTGCAGGAGGGATCAAAAGTTAAAATTTAATTTTTTTAGGAGGACCATTCTTTGAAGGAAAATTTTAGAGGGACTAAAAACAAAATTTGAGATATTTAGAGGGACCAAAAACTTATTTAATCCAATAAGAAATTAATCGTTGAAGATCAAACTCAACATTCTCAAGAATTAGAGCATCAAATGTCATAAAGAATTGATTGAAAAGAGAAATTCTGATTAGTATGATTGAAAGACTCTATTAAGATAGTTGTGACACTTGTTACTTGTTATAATTTTGGAGCTTCATAAGATGGATATCAAGTTAGTGTTTCTTAATGGCAGAATTAATAAATACAATATGGCGCAAAGTTTATGGTTTGCGAACAGATAAAATCTATTTATGAGTTAATGAAATTGTCTCGAGATGTCTATTATGAAAAATTATTGGGTTTTACAAGTTTAGGGAGAGTAAGTTTATATTTCTAGTTTAATGTGTCAATTTTATTTAGTCAATAATAATATATGATAATTGTGTTAAACCAAGAAATCTCTAACAAAAGTTTAGAAATGAAAGATCTTGAGCACATCTCTTTTGTATTATGTATTTAGATACTTAGAGATTATTCTCAAGGTATCATTCAGTTATTACAAAATGATATATATATATATATATATATATATATATATATATATATATATATATATATATATATATATATATAATATATATATATATGTTGAAAATAAAACTGACATGAAAGACAATAAATTAGAGTATATCTCAATTATCAAGGGAGACTATTAAGTCTCAATCATTGTCCAAAATAAAAGAATATATCAATTTAGAAAATTAAGTTTTTTATACTTTGGTTGTGAGAATCTTATATACGATTGTATACGTATATGAAAAGACGTACATAAAATCATTGAGTAGATACCTGAACAATTCAAAATTAAATTGTTGGAAAAAAAGGTCAACCATGAAGATTATTGTAGAAAACAAAAGAGTTTGTAATCACAAATTGGATATCTGACAATAAGGAGATTATTAGTATGTTTGTCTCTGATATTTTAGATGTCGAATAAACATTCTAATAAAGGATAAATGAAGGTAAGTATTTATGTCATTCAATTACAATTCAATATAAGATCACTCAAGTTATATTTTATTGTAAGACAGTCATATATTTTAAGCTAAACACTCATTAATCAAAGACTTGACATATAAGGACTTTCATATGATTATTTATCACATTACATGAAATTTTCATGTCACTCATCCATATCGATCTATGTCATCAAGTATCTTTATGTGGTGGTTGTGGGATTCCATCACGTTATACGTTAGTGACGTCAGCGACGATGGTCTCATTATTAATGTATGAGATGAACCAGATTGTAAAATTGAAATCTAAGAATAAATAGCATTCGGGTACGTGCCTAAAAACTATGATATAATTATTAAGATATATTAAGTGGAAGATTGTTGGAATATTTTATATTTAAATATTATTTAATTATTATATTCCAATAATTATTAAGTGGGCAAATATATTTATATGAATTATATTAGTTATTTGTTAAATTAAGAGTTTTAATTGATTAAGTGGTCAAATAAAATTTAAAAGGCTAATTAAATTTCTATTTAGTAATTAATTAATTAATTGGATATGTGCTTAAATATGAGTGGATGTCAATGGTTGAGGAAGAATTACACAAGACATCAAATATTTATTGTTTGTCTATTTCATTTATCAGGATTACCGCTAATATGAACTTTCTCGATAGATCCCAATATTCTTAAAATTATTTGTTTGTATAACTATTTAATTTTTGCATAAATTATATATTATGACTTTGTAAGTATGTATATCTGATTAATCCCGTTAAATAATTTAATTCTAACTCTCCCACTACCGTAAATTTATTCTAAACCCTGTAAATTTTAAATCCTCTAATCATCTTTATCAGCATAGAGACGTTAAGCATCTGTAATATTTTTTTATAAATAACTTTTATATGTATATCTAATATTATTTCATTATGTTCATGAGTATGAATCAAATCCACGTACTTTAATTATTAATACACTCACAAATATTACCCATTAAATATTGTGGATAAATTTAGATGCAATCCTATTTTATTATTATATCAATTTCTTATATCAATTTATATATATATATACCAAACAACTTTTAACTTAATTTAAAAGCTCTTATTTTCAACTTTTAACTTAATTTAAAAGCTCTTATTTTCAACTTTAACTTGAAAGTAGCTTTTACAAACCAAAAAAGCTTGGCCAAAAGCCACTGCAAGGACCTGACTCCAAGTACGAAGAAATAAACCATATTTATTACTCTAATTCTATTGATGTTTTAGTTTTAGTTTAAATGATGTTAATATTATAGAAACATGAGGTGTAATTAATTTTCTTTTCTAACTATACTCGTAATTGAAGAATAAATATTTTGAGTGCACTATATGTACTAATCTTAAACATCAATCAGATTGCATATATGTTACCTCTAAATATAATTGATTGAACTTAAGAATGTGTAGGACATTACACCCTCCTTCAATCCTCTGTTCTCAATTTTATTCCTCCAATAAAATCCTATCAAACTAAGAAACAAGTTTCTCGTGTAACATGTTTTGAATTAAAGGTGTTTGTGACAAGCCATGTTCAAAGGAATAGGAGGATCAGAAAAAGAACCATCAACAATTTGGTCAAACACCCATTTATTAGCAGCCTGAGTTAAATGAACACCATCCCAATTCACCACAACAGATGGATCTTTGCATGGTTTCGCAATCAAAATCTCTTTTCCATCAATCTTAACCTTTCCTCCACATCCAATCTTATTATTATAGTTGTACTTCCCACCATGTCCACAACAAGCTCTCAAATGTTCCTTAAAACCTGTTTCAATCAAACATAACAAAACCATTAAAAAAACACATTTCATGAACCAAACAATCCCAACACAGGTAATGTTTCAAAATTTACCATGTTTCTTTGCTTGACTAATGAGAGAGTACTTGACAGAGTAAACATCAACATATGTTATGGCAGCTGAGTGAAGTTCTTTTCTGAGTTGAACAAGAGCCGATTTCAGTTCACGATTGAAGAACTTAGCAACTTCATTATACGGGATTGCACATCCCGCTTTGTCGAATTCACCGGGTTTTACTTTGTGAAGTTCTATGATATATGGCAAACAACCAACCGGACCAGTATTGTGAATCCAAAATGATCTTCCTCCTTTATCATATATATTCTGTATACATACACCAATCCAAGCATTTACACAAACATTACATATGCAATATTATAATTCCTTTATAAAGTTTATAGCAATTGCATCAAAAATCAAAATGGATTATTATTATTACCTTTACTACGTACTTGAATTGATCCAAAACATCAGGAACATAAGCTTTAACTTGATCTATGGACATGTTTTGGAAATAACCGGATGCCAAATCATTTTGACCGATATCAAATGTGTATAACGCGCGAGAAAAATCTTTTGCTTTTGGTAACAATGTTTTGTATATTCCACCTGAGAAGGAAAAAAATGAAAATCAGAGACGAAAAATAAGACATATATGCATTGTGATTATTACCTTTGTTGCGAAAAATCTGGGTCCTGCGCTGAAAATCATTGAACTGATAGAACTGAACATTCAAAGAGAAAGGACTGAAACCACCAACTTGATGAAGAGTTGTATTCTGAGGTCTGATGGTGGATCCAGCAGTTGCGAAATTTGCTCCATGGCTAAAATTTGATCCAACAGCATCAAGGAATGCATTCAAATATGGAAGGTCTAGCTTTTCGGCTTTTGATCCATAATATGAAAAATAAAATTTGAATTAGCATAATTAAATTATTGAAAAAGTTTTTTTTGTCAAGCGGCATAACTGAGCTGGCGAGTTTAATAATCATTTAGTGCTATGTTTGCAATTCTGTCGGTGGATGTTTCCAAACCATTTTGAGCTTCAAAATAATTATAAATCAACAAAAGCATGAGAGAAAGAAAGTACCAATGAAATCGACAAGAAGACGGCCATCACAGTAACGACCAGCAGCATGATGGAAGAAGGATTCTCCATAAGGATAGCCAGGTTGACCAAATGCAGCAGAGAGTCCTCCTGTGTCTGAATTTGAGTCACCAAAGTTGTATATTGCTGGAAATTCACACTTCTTTGATTCACCTGCAACTGCTACTGTTGAATGCTTTGTAATAATTGAACAATAGAATAGCAATATCCAAAGAATGCTAATCATATGCCTCATTATTGTAACAAAACTAATGAAAAGGGCTAAGAAAGTTGAGATAGGGAAGGTCAAGTCACATCCAGTCACTCAGTCTCATGCTCAGAGTGTAGTGTACATTATATATAAGATATATAAAACGACTTAAATGTCTGGATTATTGTTAACGGTCACATTTAATATGGATAAAGACAAAACTCATTTTATACTACCCATAAAAACAAAGGTTATTTGTAATCCATTTAAAGACATTAAATGCTTCAAATATTCTTTTATTGTTAGTCTATTAATGTTAATAAAAGATATTTTAGGTTAAACAAATGTGTATTTTTGTTTTATATTATTGTCATTCATTTAGGATATAAGAGATATGATAAAATAGCTCTATCATATCTTATCATAATTTAGATGATACAACAGAATATGATAAATTTATTCTATTATATCTTATTAATTTGAATTTTTATTTTGAAAATAATCTGGATTAAAATTTGGCAGGATAAAATAAGAAAATTATTTATTAATTTATCCTTATAAATTATAATAAAAATAAAAAAAGTAAATATCATAAAATATAAATAAAAATTAGTTAGATATTAAATTAAAAAATATTAATAAATAATTTTAAAAAAATATATACGATTTTGTCATAAGAATAATTTTATAATTTTATATAATATAAAAAATTAAAACTTAATAGATTGAAATATTTAAAACTAAAATATTATTAAAATTTTAAAAGTATGAATACTAATTTTATTTTTTATCAAATTAATATTTTTTCTTACAGGTAGTTATATATATATATATATATATATATATATATATATATATATATATATATATATATATATATATATATATATCCTGTGTAAACCAAAATATGATAGGATAAGTCTTATCATATCATATCCTTATCTTGATTTATATCTTATTTTGTCTCTATCATATCCTACGTACCAAACAAGTTCTTATAGTCATATTGTTAAGATTTTGAAATCTAGAGTCTTCTTGTATAAAATAGTTGTTTAAATATATTATCTATTCTCTAATTTGATGGTTCTTATTTAACCATTCACATTTATTAGATGTATTTTAAAGGTAGGATCACACGTGTTCCTCGGGTTTTAAGATTTCTTTTGAGACATCTTATTTATCTTTATGTTTGTTTATTTTGTGACTTTAATTATTCATTTTGGTATGGGCTTTTGCTCCATACACAGCATTAACTTCTTTCTTCGCGGCAAAAGGTTTCTTGACAGAATTGGGAGTGGAAGTACATGTCACAGAGATCTTTCCACTTTTAATGTCACTTTCAACTCTTTCACCGGTTAGGATTAATTCGGTGAAACCAGAAGAAGAGCAGCCGGCCAATAGATTAAAGAAATGACCAGATAATGTGCTCATGAACATGTCAATGTTCCCTATCAATCAAGGGAGGTTGGACCCTGCTAGCAAGGTCTCTCCACTTCTGCGCATATTCCTTAAATCCCTCATTCTTCCCCATGGTCATACCTTGCAATTGAACCCTTGTTGGTGCCAAGTCGGCGTTGTACTGATATTTATGGTAGAAGGAAGTAGCTAGACCCTCCCAAGTATTGATGCGTGAGCCATCCAATTGATAAAACCATTCAAGTTGTGTTCCAGCCAGACTCTCTTGGAAAAAGTGAATCCAGAGTTTTTTATCAGTAGTGTGCGGTTGTATCTTGCGCATATAGGACTTCAAATGAAGCTTTGAGCAAGAAACCCCATCGTATTTTGCAAAGGTTGGTATTTTAAACTTGTGGGGAATGACTACCCCAGAGATTAAGCCCAAATCATCAAAATTTAAATCGGGAATAGCTTGGATTTCAACCGCTTTCAACATGTCTTCTAGCTGCTTGTATTTGATGTCTGCGGGTGGATATTGTTCATTGAAATAACCATCATCATATTCTTGGTCATTGATACAGTCGGCCTGAGTACTCCTGACCTCACCAATTTGGTTCTCGTCCTCTTCGGATGAATCTTCCTCTATTGGAATTTGACGGATTGTCTCCTTGAACCTTTTACCCATGTTGAGTAGATCTTTCTTCTTTGGCTTTTTCTTAGCAGCCAACAAGGCCATCATATCCTGCTGCCCCTTAGCCAGGGCGAGTAAAACTTCCTGAAATTGAGAATTCTGGGCCTGGAGTTCCGTCACAGTTTTCTCTAGATCCATCTTGCTAAAATAAACAGCGGAGAGATAAGGAAACCTGCTATGCGGAAACCTGTCATGTCATGATGCATGAATATGCAATATGCAAATGATTTCAAGGATTTAAAGAATTCAAATTTGTATAGACAATGAGTTAACTTGCATTTAAAGAGTTTTGATTTGAATACAAACATGCCTCTTGGGCTTACAACAACAGAAATATACATAAAGTAAACTCCTAAGACAGAAAAGTTGTGCGCATCCTCTTTGGCGTAATGTATCTGTTTAAACTCCTTTCTTCATGAAGCTCCCTTGTGAGCTCTAATATCTTCTTCTCGCTCTCATAGAACTTAGCTTCAAAGGTGTCTCGCTCTCCTCGTAACTGAATCCAGGCGTTTTGCAAATCTTCGAGGGAAGTAGGCATATCAGGATAGAGGATAGTATGTGGAATGTCTCCCTCAACTATTAGCTCCCTGATAACAGGTAAGACGGCTTCATAAGGCATCTTAAGACTTTGAGCGCGAGCCCTCACCCATTTAAGATAAGGTTCCAAAGGAATGGAATTCTTACGCCCCAATGTCTTTCTATCAACTTTGTTAACCATACCCCAAGCTCGTATAAATCTTTGACGATAACCTTGGGTATCGCTTTCGTAGTCGAATGCAATTCCTTGAATGAGTACCTCATGAGGGCCATCTCTCCTGGCGTATCCAAATTGTCGCAAAGCTAAACAAGGGTTGTAAGTAATGCCTCCCCTCATGTCAAGTAGAGGGACATTGGGGAATTCCCCACAGCGATCAATGATGGTAATGTCTTCCAAAAAGAGATAGTACCAACAGATATCAACACGTGAAAGTGACATCAATCTTTTAGACCATCTCATTCCTTGTTCATTCTTCACCATGGATCGAGGTAGGTGCGAGATAAACCACCTAGCCAGAAGAGGAGTGCAACATATCAAAGCCCCTCTTTTCTTCAAAGTGCGAGAGTAAAGAGAATGCAATATGTCTCCCAGTAATGTAGGCACTGGATTACAAGATATGAAAACTTTGATCGCATTTACATCTATAAATTGGTCAGGATTGGGAAATAGTACCAACCCATAGATGAGAAGAGCCAAAATTTCCTCAAAGGTTTGTAGATCCAAAGTATTCCAACACTCTTGAGCCTTCTCCAACAAAAACTTTGCTATGAACCCTTTAATACAACTCCTTGTTACCCAATTTGCTACTATGTCAGATGGTTGCAAATGTAGAGCTCGAGCAATTTCCTCAGGTTTAGGGTCTCTTTCAATACCGTTGAAAGGTAACTGATCAAGAATAGGGGTCCCCATGAGTTGAGAAAATTCTTCTAAAGTGGGCACAAGTTGGTAATTGGGAAAAGTGAAGCAATGATGCAAAGGGTCGAAGAATTGAACAAGCACCTTTACCATATCTTCTTCAAAACTTGAGGTAACCAAATTGAGGAGTCGACCATGTCTTTTGGTGAACGGAGAATCTTCAGGGACCCTTGATACTAAATCCTTGAGTTGTGGAGGTATCCTCACGAGACTGACTTGGATAGTGCTCCTGCGAGGGGATGCCATGTCCTACAAAACAGAATAAAGATAAATCCAAAAATCCTTGAAATGGTTAGTGAGAATGCTATGGTATGATGTCATGATGCTATGTGAAAATATGCGAGGTAACCAAATTTATATTCACACAAAGCAAACAAATCCTTAGCTTTAGGCTTGCATGGAGTTTGTAGGTAAGTACCCTCTTGAAGTTTAGTTGGCTCAACCTGTCCTAGTTAATAGTAATCGGGTTCTAAGGGATCTCAATATCACTGATCTTTCCCCTAAGTTTCGTTCAATAAGCGATTGAATCGCAACCAAACAAAACCCAAGAGTCAAACCTCAATGAGTGTAGCATCGAGTATCAACCAACTTCAGACTGCACCAAAGTCGATTATCTCGCTACTTTCTAATGGCCAAGTCGGTCAAGTAAGGTTCTAAGGTCAGTTGATACTTTACGACACCATGCGGCGGCCCCGTACTCTCCTTGACTGGCTCAAGGGTTATCGGTACCAACCAAAGTGCCACATCAACATAGCTACTGCTTCAACCGTATCGGTATACCCCACACAGTTCCCTCACAGTTTATTGCTACTTACCTAAAAGGTATCCCCAAATCCGGGTGTAGGATTTAAAACAAACCCAAACAAGGAACAAAAAATGTAAAGCAAACAAATCAAACAATGCAAGCAAGTAAATGTGATATATCCCTAAGGTAACCCCACTTTTAGAATAAAATTCCCCAGCAGAGTCGCCAGTTCTGTGATACGGTGGGAGAACTGACTTGGAGTGTTTGTGTTTGTGTTTGCAAATGTTACGGTTTAGCAAGAGTCGCCACTGACTTTTCTTTTATCCAAAAAGGAAAGGTGAAAAAGCACAGGAAAGACCTTTAGAGATGTTTTCTTGAGTTCGGGGGGTAGATTATGAAAAGGAAAGGTATTAGCATCCTTTCCATCCATGGTTTTCCATGGGCTCTTAGTTACTCGCTAGATCACTTGCTTTTGTTTGAAAGATGTGTTTTGTGTGTTTTTTGAAAGTATTTTGAAAAGGTGTCATCGTTTAGGCAAACTTTGTAATAGTTCTCGTTTGTAAGAACGTATACAAAGTGTTGAGCTTTTGAAAATGTTTCAAGATTGGAAGATGATTGGAAAGTGTATGTGATTGTTTTGAAAATAGCAAGGATATTTGTTTTGAGAGTGAGCAAGTAACTAAAAGTAATCTACCTACTCAAAAGGTCTTAGATATGTTTTTCCTCCTTCTTTAGATATTGCTATCTTACCATTTATTTGG